CCACGATGGAAGCTGAGTTCATGGCATGTTCAGCATCAGTTCAAGAGGCTGTATGGCTGAAGAGGTTCTTAGAAAGCTTACATATTACACCTGCGGCTTTGTGTCATGTGACTATTCATTGTGATAGTCAAGCTTGCATTGCGTTTATGAAAGATCCTAAGTATCATGGAAGGAAAAAACACATTGCAATCAAGCATAACTTTGTGAGAGACATTGTGGCAAAGAAGGAAGTTATCATTAAGTACATCTCTACGCATCAGATGGTAGCTGATCCGTTCACGAAGCCCAATCCGAGAGATGTTTATCTCACTCATGTTCGTGCTTTAGGTTTGCGTAGAATTTGATGTATGTACTAATGGAGCTTTGCATTTGACAATGTATTTGTACTTGATGTTTTTATTTTATTCTAAAGATATTTTTTATATCATATACAATAGTCATTTATTTTGCATACTTACACATAAATATAAATAAATATCACCAAGTAGGAGATTGGTTCACTCATATGAACAATCGCCTCAAATTTCTTTGTGAAATGTTGAGATGAGACATGACGAGTTTCCCGCTAGTGGGAGCTTGTCTTGTAAAATTAGTCAAAAGCCGCCTTGATAAAGAGTCAAGATGAGATATCCCATTAAGATATCGATCATGATTCACCCAAAATCATGAATACTTGGAAGATCTGGATAAGTACATAATCAAGCGCTAGATAGCGAGATGATAGTAGCTTGATCCACATAGTGGTGTTTGGTTTATCTAATGGACATACACTTTAAAAGAAAGAGTTAACCTCTATGACATGTGAGTCATACTACATGTGCTATTACGACCATATAGGAAGCCATAGATTTTAACTTTGTAATCCCTATCTCTCGTAATGTGAGTTTCTATAAACCTATTTATGGTTTCAATTATTACCCTTGAACTTTCGTCTATGTTCTTGAAGGGATGAACTAATGTTCGCTTCTTTAGTATGTTTTTCCAACGGTGATGGAATAATTAGCCTTATGGTACATACTAGGAAAGCGGTTAGTTTGGAACAGATGGACATGAGAACGGAAGAGATAACTATTTTGTTTTTACATTGACATATGGGTTTGCTGGCCGGCCACTATATCACTCAATTGGAGTTTGAATATAGTGAACACATGATGTAGAAAAGTCTAACATATGCTAAAGGGATCAAATATGTTGAGATTGATGTAAAAAACAAATGAGTTTGGGGAACAGCGAGACATGCTGAAATGCAAATATTTTTCTTAAGGTTGTAGCAGTTATGTATCCCTAACAGGTGCATAGATTAGCTCCCAAGTGCAGGTGTACTCGCAGGGTCGCACGATTCATTTGCTGTATGATTTTCGTTCTATGATTCTCAAACTTAATCTCTAAATATCTCTCTATTCATAGTTGTGCTTCCATCATGTGCGAGTGGGAGATGTTGGTTAATAGTCGATTTGCGCCCATGATTTGGCAGCACATCGAACCGGTTTTGTTAACCGGTAGTTATGAAAGTTAACAGTCATGACTCTTCATATAAGTCATTGATGTCTCTTCGTAAAGACACTTGATCTTTTGTCTATAAAAGAAAGATTGTAGACAAACATAAGATACAACTTCGTGACCATTGACACAAAGAAAGAGACTAGAGAGGGAAAATGTTTTAGAGAAAGAAAGCTTTGAGGAATCAACCGGAAGGGCACTTGAACGGTGGCTTGTGGTTGATTTCCGTCTGTGATCTCTACCCCGATCTCTGTATCCGATTTTCAGTCATTCCTATCCTGAATCGTCGCTAAGCCGACTAAGGTATGTTTCCGGTTTCACGCTTCTGCATATAACTATGTTACATTTCCTTTCTGCTTTTGAAACTCCTCCTCTCTCGTCACACTTCTTTGGTTTCACCTCGAAATCACTGTTTTCTTCTTCTTTCCCTTCTCCTCCGTCTGCTTGATATCTGTAAGTATTTGATAGGTTTGATTTTTATCAAAGAAGATAAAAAAGAAATGGAGACGAGAAGCAGAAGAAATAAGGAAGAGAATCAGAAAAAAATAGAGAAGAGAGGAGGAAGAAGACGAGAGAGAGAGAGATTAAGAAAGTTGTTTCCATTGTTCGTTTTTCGATAACCCCAACAATAGAGTTTGCTTGTTACATCTATTGTAATATAGTAAAGTTATTTTCAGAACAAACTTTGATATGTTGTAAGTGTAATTGGCATTTCAAAAGTTGACATGTGTCATTTTCTAATTTTTTGTATTATACATTAAAAAAAAATGTTTAAGTTTTTCTTTTTTAAAAACAGTTCTTTTTACTAATCTATTATAATATAATAGGTTTTTTTGTTACAACCATCTTCGATATGCTGCTATGTGACACTCCAGTGAATGACATCTGTCACTTATTTTTTTTAAACAAAATTTTACTTCTCATCTAAATTAAAATCTGAACTAAAAATTACATCTAAATCTATTCTGATATAGTAAATATTTTTCAGAATGAGCTTTGATATGCTGTCATTTGTCTCTTCAGAAGTTGTCATGTTCATTTTTTACATCTCTTTTCTATTCATTGAGAAATAATTTAAGATTTTCCGTTAAAAAATAGTTTTTTTTACTATTTATTGATAAATAGTTTACATTTTTCTGTTAAAAATATAGTTTTACTTGAAAAGGTAAGAAATATGATATAATTAAGGAAAAAAAATAACATATCAATAATTTATGATTAATAAATACATATCTATTCTAATTTTTTTGTTATTTTTTGAATGTGCTTTGATGCTGTCATGTGGCACTCAATATATTGACAAATGTCAATTCTATTTAATTATATTTTTTATTTTATAATTAAATATTAGATTTCTGCAAGCTATTTTGATTTATAAACAATTTAGATTCTTTTTCAAAATTGTTTGCAATACCATTATTTTTTTTTCAAGAAATAATGACAATTTTTGCATTGCCATTAATATTGTTCAAATAAACTAAAGATTGCAGTTTCTACATGAATCCATCATGTAATGTTTCACTTTTAATATGATCAATATAATCTGAAAAATAAAAGGACCAATAAATAATATAATAGTTACTGAATATTTAATTGGTGATCAAATATACAACAATTAATTATGAGTCAATAATATAGATAGTAAAATCAAATTAAAAAACCAAAAACATAAAAAAAACTGACACAATTAACCAAAAGACTATATTATCTTACCACATCACAAATAACAAATAGAAAACAAAACATTAAGAAAAATATTATAACTACAATTAACCAAAATCATAAAAATATATAAATACCATAAAAAACAATAAACTAATAGCAAACACCATAAAACAATCAATTAATAAATCAATCTTTTAGTTTTACCAAAAATCTAATAAAAATATACTATATGATTTATATTACATGAGAATTTCTCAAGTCCTATTAACAAATCACAAATTCTATCTTTAAATTATGGGTCCATTCCGTCAACAGTAAAAATTCAACTACACAAACATAAACTACAAAAGAAAAAGATGGTAAGTGTAATATATATTTTAATAATATAAAAAGACTAAAAATATCAATATTTTATTTTATAATCATAAATTTTACCGTAAATATATTTCTGAATGGTTATATACAGAAAATATATATTTATTATCGAGAAGAAATAATATAACTTTTAAATCATTTTTATTATTAATTAAAATTTTAATCTTTTTACATATTATTATTAAAAACAGATTACAATATAAATATTCTTATTATATAACATCAAAATATAACAAATCCGCGCAACGCGCAGACCTCTCCTAGTATACTAGATTTTATCAGCGCGTTGCGTGAACTTATTTATATTTTTTATTAATTTTTTATATATATTATATTAAATTAATATTATTGTATGTTATATTTGTCTTTTATTTTTAAAATATTTTTGTTGTCCTAATATATTTATATATATATTGTAAAATTATTTTTCTAATATATAATATCATGTATTAATTATTTTAATAAAATTTCATATATTTATATACTGCAATAAGTATTATATGTGTTCTTACTGTTTATTTGTATTCAACTGATTTCTCATATTTTTCTATATCTCTTTTTCATAGATCAACAAAGTGAAATCATCATCGATCCTTCTCCACTCTAAACTAAATGTTCCTTTAATTTTTATGGAATCTACCTCATTTTCAAGCATAATTAATTCTTTATTTTTTTTCTTTCTTATAGCTCTTAGTCTCGCTATTCTAATTGCAATCTACTGTTTTTTTTCTCTTATTTCATGCAAGCTTTCATCTCATTCAGTTATGTGATCAGTTATAACTCTAAATGAGGAGAATTTTAGTTAGGATTGGCTAGAGAGAACAAAAGATCTGTTCAAATATTACATGTTTGATGGGTTTTTAAATAAAAAATCATGCTTAGTTGATAAATTGTTGATTTTAATTGATTTGAGGCGTTTTTCTTTTTCAATGATGAACTACCTGACTATATTTTGTGAATGTGTGTGAATATTTTTGTTTGTTTATATTCGAAATAACTTTTTGAATTTTTTTTTATTTCAAAAAGAATTTGTAGTTTTTATAGTTTGTAAAATAAGTATTTGTTTTATATATATGATTTCACTTTAGCTTTATATATAATCTTTCTAAGGTTTTTTTTATAAAGTTTGATAATTATTTTCTATAAGTTTTTCCGTAATCTTTTATATTTGGTTGTCTTCCAAACTCCTTTTCACAAATGAAGAATTTGTAATTATTATGATTTGTAAAATAAGTATTTGTTTTTAATTTCAAACTAATCATATTAAAAGTCCAAAAATAAATACCCAAAATATAAAAACTTAAAAACAAAACCCAGAAATATTTAAAAACCCCTTTTAAAATAAAGATTATGCTAACGGGACTCATTTGATGATTAACTTTAATGGGCTTAAAACATTAATAAACGAGATAAGCCCAAGTAAGGCCATTTTAAGATTCTATCAGTATTCATCATTCATCATCTCCGATTTCTCAACTGATGCGTGCGGCTAATTGTTCATTTTAAGTTATACTTTTTTTTTGCTTTTACGTTTCGATTCAAGTTCCTCTTGTTTTTTTTCCGATTGTTTGGAGATTCAGGCGTCGATTTTGTGTCTGATGTTCATTTCTGGTTTGAACTTTCGAACTGTAAGATACTTTTGGGATCTTCGGCATATTTGAGGTTTTTCTTCGGATTTATTAATGATTTGGTTCGAGAACATTTCGCGCATATCCGTGGACAAAAAAAACGCAAACACAACGCCGATCTCTAGGAACAACATTGTTATTGTGGTGATTGACCTCCTCTTTGGTTTATGAATTGCAGATTGGTTTAAGCGTTACCGTGTTTGGCATTTTCGAAGGACGATGAGAATTAAAAAATGTCTAGGCTAAGCAAAGACATTGATTCAGCATTTCAAGGTGTTGGACTAAAGGGTATGCTTGTTTTCACTCGTTTATGAAATCTATGAAATAGTTTTTTTCCCTCTTATGCTTATGGCATTTTTGTTCAGTGGCCTGGAGATTTGATGCATCTATAATAATCAGCTTATTTCAATCCCCAAGTCTTCTTTTGGAAGATTCCACTCTGCAAATGCATACCTTGTTCTCAGCGTAAGTTGTTTTTCTCTTGACTTATAGTCTCTTGTTGTGAAAATAGTTTCGTTCTCATGACTGTGGTGTGTAGACGGCTTTGCGGAAGATCCATTCACTATTGGCTGGGGAATGATGCAATTGAGGTTGTAACTGTGTACATTGTATATATGCTTATTAAGATTGTGTTTACCTTTTTTTTTTAAAATATGAAGGTAGACTCAACTTTGGCATCTGACAAGGCACTAGAGTTAGATGCAGCACTTGGATGTTGTACGGTGCAATACCGCGAAGTTCAAGGTCAAGAGACGGAGAAGTTTCTCTCATACTTCAAGCCTTGTATCATACCTGTTGAAGGGAAGTACTCGCCACAAACTGGATTCCCTGGCGAGACATACCATGTCACATTGCTAATGTGCAAAGGAGACCACGCCGTTCGCGTTAAAGAGGTAATGCGTCATGCTTCAATATAGAGACTCATGGTTAGATAAATGTACATTTTATTCACTCTCAGTTTGATTGAGTTCCATTGGTTTCATCTACCTAAGGTGCCTTTTCTTCGGTCATCACTGAACCATGATGATGTGTTTGTTCTCGATACTGCATCAAAAGTTTTTCTCTTTGCTGGGTGCAACTCAGGCCCTCAGGAAAAAGCTAAAGCCTTGGAGGTTGTGGAGTGTATAAAGGATAACAAGCATGTCGGAAGATGTCAGGTGGCGACTATCGGTTAGATTTTTTTTCTCCTTTTCAACTTCTTTCTTAAACTAAAAGATCGATGGAAGAGAAACAGTTTAATCATTTCTGTTTCTTGTAGAGGATGGAAAGTTCTCAGGTGACTCAGATCCTGGTGAATTCTGGTCTTTCTTTGGTGGTTATGCTCCCATTCCCAAGTTTTCATCTTCTACTGCTCAAGAACAGGCTCTAACTACATGTGCAAAATTGTTCTGGTGAAATTTAGTTTTATACACTTATACCTCCCTGTGCTTTGAGGAACTGTTTGTCAAAGAAAGACCAACATTAATTATCTTTCATCAAACAGGATAGATATCGGGGAAATCTACATCTAACTGGAACAAGTTCTTTGATCAAAGATATGCTTGAAAAGAACAAATGCTACATGCTGGATTCCGACAGCGAAGTGTTTGTTTGGTTGGGAAGAAACACATCACTCACGGAAAGGAAGACATCCATTTCTTCCTCAGAAGTAAGTAATTGTTGGGAATATAAGATGATTGATATGTGAGCACATTTAACTTTTTGGCACCGAATTTTTTTCCACAATGAACAGGAGCATAAAATGAGGAAACCAAATGTAGAAGTTTCTATCATGATTACATGACTTTGGAGTTTTCTTTCGCTTGACTTGCGTTTGTATTATCTGATTTGGCATGTTGCTGTGCTCTAGGATTTTCTACGAAAGGAGGGACGCTCCACTAGCACGAGTCTAGTGCTTTTAACAGAAGGATTAGAAAACGCTAGATTCAGGTCATTCTTTGATAAATGGCCTTAGATCATGGAGTCCAGCCTTTACAGTGAAGGTCGAGAAAAAATGGCAGGTCTGTAAGAGGTAACAAATGTTGTATCAAGAAACTAAAAATGTGAGATACGAACTAAAAGTCTAAACGCTTATATGCAGCAATGTTCAAACGGAAGGGATATGATGTGGAGGAGCTTCCTGATGAAGATGATGAACCTCTCTATACAAACTGCCGAGACTCCCTGAAGGTATAGTTCATATCTAATACAGGTGACCAAATTGTCAACATCTCGTAGCATAAGGCTGATCAATGGTGATGAGTTTTTAAAAAACTAATTTCAGGTTTGGCGTGTAGATGGTGATGAGGTCTCGCTTCTCTACATTCATGACCAGACAAAGCTATTCATCGGCGATTGCTATATTCTGCAGTATAAATATACTTGCAACGAAAGAAATGAATATCTATTATATCTATGGATAGGTTGTGAAAGCATGGAGGTACGTAGGCTTTAAGTCTTTTTACCTGTTGTTTCTTTTTGATTATTTTTATCTATGAGCTCCATTTTGTTTTCCCACTTCATTGCAGCAAGATAGAACTGATGCCATATCCAATGCTAGTGCCATTGCTGCTTTAACCAAGGGTGAATCTGTAATGGTTAGTTCCAAACCAGATTGCAAAATTAAATTCACAAGTTTTCTCTGTTTTTGTGTTTTTTTCTCTTTTTGGTTAAACTATCTGATCTGTTTCTTTCATCCACAGTCATATATATCAGGGAAACGAACCTGCTCGGTTTTTTTCAGTGTTCCAGTCGCTGGTTGTTTTTAAGGTCAGTTTACAATACTTTATTAAACATTTAGAGCTTAGATTGATTGATATGTTATTGTACTACTTACTACTACTTGCGGACTCAAATTTTTATACTTACGTCATCGATCATTACACTTTTTTTCAGGGTGGTTTGAGTAGACGTTACAAAATGTTTCTAGTAGAGAATGCAATCAAAGCTGAAATACCTAATGAGAGCAAGGCTTGTCTTTTCCGTATTCAAGGGACAGGTCCAAGGAACATGCAAGCAATTCAAGTTAATCTAGTGGGTTCTTTTGTACTTTCTGCAATTCTTATTTGTCAAAAAAATGCATTTCGACAGCATGCCTTTGGTCCCTGACTTATATTACTAAGCAAACAAGAATTTTCCTCTCCAGGCAGCAAACTCCTCGAACTCATCCTACTGTTACATTTTACAACATGGAGCTTCTTCTATCTTCACTTGGACTGGGAATCTTTTCTCAGAATCTGATCATGATGTTCTTGACAGAATGCTTTAATTCCTTGATGTAAGCTCTCAGGTTCTGTTTACATTGGTTCTGGTTTATTGGTTTATGTTCAGCATTACAAGTCTATTTCTTCGTTTCCATACGCAGACGTCTTGGCAACCCATATCCATGAGGGAAGGAAATGAATCGGACACATTTTGGGATTTGCTTGGTGGGAAGTCAATGAGAAAACAATTTATTTACATGTTCCTGTAATTCAGGTAATGGTAAAAAATCGTTTTACATTTGCTTTATTTCATCTTATATTATTGTTTAGTTATGCCATGGTTCAGCTATACAAACTTGTATTATGCCTAACGTAAGAGTGGTCCATGACTGGTTTGGCTCTTTTGTTTAGAATGTACAATTCTTTCATGTGTGTATTAATGGTATTTTTGAAGTGATTACATATCCGTTGGGAATACTCTTATCTGATACCAATTATCTTCATTGTTTTCAGGTGAAGAAGTATACAATTTTGTGCAAGACGATTTAACTACTGAAGATGTATTACTGCTGGACTGCCAAACTGAACTGTATGTTTGGATTGGATTAAACTCAGACATAAAGTCGAAGCAACAAGCTCTTACTCTTGGTCTGGTAAGTTTTCCTCTTTATTTGGCCTTCCATGTACTAATCAACAACATATATAAGATTAAAGAATGAAAAACTTGTTGCTATTTATCTGAAGGTTCGTTCTATTTATTTCTTTTCGTCATTATTTTTCTTATGTGGTCGTATATGCCTTTTGTGAAGGAACGGGTTGTGCTTGCCTCTTAACTAAATGGCAGGCAGTTACAAAGGCAAGACTGGGTTATGATCCATTGGAAGTGAATCCAGAGGACATGGTTTGGTTTGCAATGGGGAAGCCACAGGTATGTATTGCTGGTTAATCAATAATATGCTATTGCCGAATGACACAAGTGTTTGAGAATTGGAATGAGCTAGAGTGACATATTTAGTCAAGTAAAAAAACATTCAGCAACGGACATAGATGATGCGATTGATAACTTCAAGCAATTAAGGATTTTCCTAGTCTATGCTGTAGTGCTTGCGAGATGCTGCGGTTGATGTCTTATTTCTATTTCATGTAGGGAATTATTTCGAAGACAATGGCCTTCTTCTCTCTCGGATACTGTCGCAACTTATTACCTATACATGATATATGTCCATCCGTTCATTTTTTCTCTCTCGCAACTATCATCCCAATGGTCTCTGATGAGGTTTACGCTAAGGGAGTGGCACCCTTTGTGAAATGCTTGTCATGGTTGAGGTGAATTCCTATCTACTACAAGGTTTTTAGCATCTCTTACAGTGTGGCACATTCTGTTTATTGGAAGTCTTCCGTTCTCAGCACAGGCTTACAAAGGCAAATGTTGTATGTCCCAAAAAAATTAAGCTGACCCTGAGTAGTTCTACGGAGGTAAACTTCTTGAAAGTGAGACATATATTGGTGGCCATGTAGAGTGCTTCGAAAGTGGTGTTATCAGATCCGACATTCCAACCAGTTTTAGCTCAAAACAAGGCAAGTTTTTTTCTTTATATAGTGTTAATTAATCTGTTTTGCTGTTTGTTACTTTTTTCTGATAATAGTATCTATTCAAATGTCACTTACTTTTCTGTAATATCTATCTGAAGTGGTGCAGTTTATAGTAAAACGTATGTAGTCTGCGAAGGATGCCTTGTTCTTTTGTGCGTGATTGTATCGTAGCTAACCTTGGTATCTAAACCTTGTTGGTCTAGTCTCAAGTTTTTAACTTTGTTATAAATAGTTTGGCAGTGAATATGACCATCCGAAGAAGAAGATTGAGTCTAAATCTGTTAATGCTGGTGCAAATATTCAGTCTTCATAACCTTTCCTTGATCTGCCAAAGGTGGAACAACAATCCAAATTAAGAGAACGACTGAAAAAAACGGTATTCTCTCTCTCTCGACTGAAAAAAATCATCCACTGTATATATTCATAAAGACCAATAGACCAATATCTGTACAACCAAGAATGGCTACGAAAAAAAAAAAACGGAATCTTCTTTACACTGTATCATCCACTGTATATTCACAAAGACCAATATCTGTTCAACCAAGAATGGCTATATTCACTAATTTGTTATGTGTTCTTCTATGCTATGAATTACCTAGAAAGTCTTCTATGTGCAGTGCACCACCGGCTTCTCTATTGCTTGACTTATTTTTGCTTTGCCAAGTCAAGCAAAATTTTCGCGGCCTCATTAACAGCATTGAGTGCTTCAGGAGGGTTATCTTCCTCTTCAACAGCAACAATATCTTCAGGTGCTTCATCACCAACGGCAGCATTGAGCGCTGCACCTTGAGCAGCAGCAACAGGATTCGCTCCTTCAGCAGGATTGGAATTAGAGGCTAAAGATTGAGACGGCTCAAGCACTTTAGAGACGACCTATAAACAGGTTTTGAATTAGTTTTCGACCTATAGAAGCAGCAAAACTGACAAAAAAAACAAAACACACCTTTGGTATTTTGCACAATCTGTCAGGTATGTCTCTTCTTCCACTGTTTTTGCCTTCTTCATAAACACTACCAGACTCGAGCTATAAACAAACAGGAGTTGAATTATTTTTCGACTTACAGAAGCAACGCAACAACTAGACAAAAGATGAAGGAACGTAACACACACCTTTCTTTTTTTGCAGGACCTGTCTGGAAGCACTCTTCGTCCACTACTTTCGGCTGGATCTCCGCTGCTTGCGGATGGATCTCCACTGCTTGCGAATAGATCTCCACTGCTTGCGGATGGATCTCCACTGCTTGCGGATGGATCTCCTTGGGATGGATCTCCACTGGTTTCTGCATCCATACCACCTTTCTTAGTGACAAAAAGGGTACATGGCTCAATTGTGTAATTGAGGCTGAATAGCGATACGACTCCATCAGGATCACAGTACTCAGTTAACGTCCACTGGTTCGCTATTTTTACTTGTTCTTCTGTATTGTTGCCTGGATTGTTGACGGTCAGGTAAGACGTGTTAGATTTTAACTCCCTATCTTCAACATAATGTCTGTAATGTGATTTTCTGAGCCAACAGTATGATGTGTTGTTGCAGTCGAATGAGGAGAAATCGGGTTTTGACTTTCCAAAGTACATCCAGGTTCTGAGTGTTTCAGCTAAAGCAAGTGGGAAGGATCGCCGAACAAACTCTAGTTGCCAGGGCGCTGTTTCAAACACCTTATCACCGTCAATGTCTATAGTTCCAATGCCCACATCAAAACCTTCAGATATGTTTAGCAACGCCATAATGCATGTAAGGTCATGATTTTTGGCACGCCCATCGACCAAGACGTAGGGCAGTGCTTTGTTTCCGAGAGTATGAGCGATCTTGGTATGGTCTTCGCAACAGTATCGTTGAGTATCATCAGAAACACCGTGCCAGCAAGAATACAAACTGCATCTTTGGCTTCTGCGCAAGTGGTATTGTTTCTCCGGAGCCGAGGGCGGAGCTGAGTCTGTAGCCGGAGGCAAGGGCGGAGCTGAGTCTGTAGCCGGATGCGAGGGCGGAGCTGAGGCTGTAGCCGGATGCGAGGGCGGAGCTGAGGCTGTAGCCGGAGGCGAAGTCGGCGTCGATTCCGCCATGGATCACAAGAGAAAGAAATTTGAAAGATGGTAAAAGAACGAGGATCGAAAAGCAAGCAATTCTCGTGCGATTTTCCGGGAAAGAAGATCCTTTACTTAGCCGGAGGTGAGGGCGGAGCCGGGGGCCGAAGTCGGCGTCGGTTCGGCCATGGATCACAATAGAAGAGAAAAGAAATTTGAAAGATGGTAAAGGAGGATCGAAAAGCGATTCTCCGGCAATTTTCCGGGAAAGAAGATCCTTTACTTAGCCGGAGGCGAGGGCGGAGCCGGGGGCGAAGTCGGCGTCGGTTCGGCCATGGATCACACTAGAAGAGAAAGAAATTTGAAAGATGGTAAAGAACGATGATCGAAAAACGATTCTCCGGGAAAGAAGATTTACGGGGTTTTGGAGGGAGGATTCAAGAATTGAGATTTTGATTGGGTTTTTAATGCATTCGTCCTAATATTTATAGCCCAAAGTACAAAGCCCATTAGGATTTAACCGACTTAACTAATCTGGATACTCGACCCGAGTCGTTTTATTCCTGCCCGCTTCCTCTCCTTCGTGGATCTTGGCGCTTTTGGAAAAATTCTCGTCGCAACATTCTCTCGATTAGCTCAAGCGTAATCTCTCTTTACTCGTAAGCTCTATTGTAGATTCCTCTAACTAGCATTCGTTTTTTTGATTCTTGATTTTGTCGCTCTGAGTAAATGTATGTTTTGTGATGTCTATGCTCTTTGATGGTTATTTTTCTAGCTTCTCTTCAAGTTGCTAGCTTTCGTAAGTTCGAACAAACTTCAATTTTGGATTCGCGATTTCGTGTGAGAAATTTGTTTAGTGCAGTAGTGTGTGATGCCTGTAAGGGGTTTGATGAAATTCCTCAAAGAAATTAACTTTATCGTTATGCCAGTGTATCTTTTGGATTTGATTGTTTAGACATAAGTTAATAAAGGGAGAATTTATGTCTGAAGAAGACTCTGAAACCTTCACTTTTTTGTGTATGATTACATAAATCTCACAACACTCTCATATCCATCTCTTGTTCCACATGTATAGAGAAGTGAGACCATTTTCTTTTCGTGGACTGTTCAAACAACTTTTATTTCAAGCAATGGCGAAGCATCATCATGTGCCGGAAGCAACCGGGCATTGCCATCGGACGGCTGTGTGAGAAATGCGACGGGAAGTGCGTGATTTGTGACTCTTACGTGCGTCCGTGTACTCTGGTGCGTATCTGCGACGAATGCAACTACGGGTCGTTCCAAGGGAGGTGTGTTATATGCGGAGGGGTTGGTATCTCGGATGCTTACTACTGTAAAGAGTGTACACAACAGGAGAAAGACAGAGATGGTTGCCCCAAGATCGTCAACCTCGGGAGTGCCAAAACCGATCTCTTCTATGAACGTAAGAAGTATGGATTCAAGAAACGATGATATTATGGGTTGGTTCGTGATTGCAAGATCTTTTTTTGAAGTGCTTGAACTATTCGGATCTCTTATTGGCTATGTGTAAACTTGTTTGTTAGACTCTCCTCGTTGCATAAAGCACATATGTCCTGAGAGTCAATCTAAAGATATTAGATTGCAAAATCAGAAGTTATGCATTGATCTTGTTGATATTCTAAAGTTGAGACTTTATTAGAATTGGTTTTTATTGTCCAAATAGTTTCTTGGTGCATCGTGTTTTATGGCATCAGATCACAAATAAAAAGTTTGGGATAAATGAGTAATCTACTTCTTTGCATTTGCTTCAAAATAGTTGTCACAAAACGGGTGCTAGAATGGTTTTAGTGAATTCAATTAAAAAAAATGAATATAAATTAAGGAAATCAGATCAAAAGGCAAAAAGACTAAGGAAATAAAAGGTTAATCACACGAATTACAATATTAGTCAATTATTTAAGGGTTGTGAACTAAAGTTTTGACCAAAATGGTGTCTTAATCCAACATACTCAGGTTTATGCCATTCATACTCAATCCAACATAGCTAGAAAGCTATACACTTCAATACTTCATGTTTTGTTTCAACTTGCTTAGATTGGGAAGTTTAGCCAAGTACTAAATAAAACATGTGATGAACTAAAACTAGTTTTTATTTTTATAAATGAAACTATTTCACTAAATATTTGCATGAAACGTATCAAATAACTTTTTGTTGCTCTTTGAACAAGTTCATGTTCATGTTCATGTAAACAGAATCTCGAATTTTGATTAGTTGTTTGGGGGATCCCACGTCAATCTTGTCATACCTACCAAATGTAAACACAATCATATTATAGAAACACACGATACTTATTTGGCCAAAAGAAAACACAATACTTTTTCTTATGGGTTGATTTATTGAGTAAATGTTATGGTGACAAAATATTGTAAGGGGTCTATACAATACGGTTTCTATTGGACTTACAAAAAGAAAACTCTTTAATAAATTGTTTAGGAATCAGGTTTTAAGGCTTATAAATATAAAGTTTTAGGGTTATAAAATCATTATTCACGTAAACCATATTATTAATTAGCAAGGAAGTTGAGTTGTGGTTGAGAGTTATGATGGTTGGTTACCATTTATCTCTCATATAAATTTACTTTAATTATCTTTAATATAATTAGGTATATACCTGCGATATGCAGCAGGTAAATTTTTTTTTTTTAATATAATGTCATACTTTGATAAAATGAAAATATATTAAAATAATATTATATGCATATTTTTTAAAAATATTCAAATTCATATATATAATTCTGTTTTAGTTACGTTTTGTGTTATAGTCACCGTTTATCTAATTCTTACGAGAGGTAGATGTAAAACAACACATACAATAAAACGTACTTTGTATAAAATTCTTCAACTTTAGTAATTAATGTAAAACTTATTTCAATATTCCTGATTCAAAATTAGTTACACACTTATTATTTATAGTTATAAAAATTTATGTTTTCTCAACTAAATAAATTTATTAATCCATTAATAAAGTTGGTTTTCCAAGTTATGAATATTGGCAACTATAAAGCGCAGGATTGAACCTAACTGAATCTCCTCTCACCAAGAACATGATTCATGGTATTGACCTTACTGTCTTAAACTGGTATCCATCTAAATTGGTACAAAGATTCACTTTTTATTGCTCTTTGAACAAGTTCATGTAAACAGAATCTCGAATTTTGATTAGTTGTTTGGGGGATCCCGGGTCAATCTTGTCATACCTACCAAATGTAAACACAATCATATTATAATATTATAGAAACACACAATACTTATTTGGCGAAAAGAAAACACAATACTTTTTCTTATGGGTTGATTTATTGAGTAAATGTTATGGTGACAAAATATTGTAAGGGGTCCACACAATACGGTTTCTATTGGACTTACAAAAAGGAAACTCTTTAATAAATTGTTTAGAAATCAGGTTTTAAGGCTTATAAATATAAAGTTTTAGGGTTATAAAATCATTATTCACGTAAAACATATTATTAATTAGCAAGGAAGTTGAGTTGTGGTTGAGAGTTGTGATGATTGGTTACCATTTGTCTCTCATATGAATTTACTTTAATTATCTTTAATATAATTAGGTATATACCTGCACTATACAGCAGGTAAATTTTTTTTTTTTAATATAATGTCATAATTTGATAAAATGAAAATATATTAATAATATTATATGCATATTTTTAAAAAATATTAAAATTTATATATAAAATTTTGTTTTAGTTACGTTTTATGTTATAGTCACCATTTATCTAATTCTTACGAGAGGTAGATGTAAGGCAACACATACAGTGAAACGTACTTTGTATAATTCTTCAACTTTAGTAATTAATGTAAAAATTATTTAAATATTTCTGATTCAAAATTAGTTACACTTATTACTTATAGTTAGAAAAATTTATGTTTTCTCAACTAAATAAATTTATTAATCTATTAATAAAGTTGGTTTTCCAAGTTATGAGTATTGGCAACTATAAAGCGCAGAATTTCACCTAACTGATTCTCCTCCCACCAAAAGCATAATTCATGGTATTGACCTTACTGTCTTAAACTGGTATTCCTCTAAATTGGTACAAAGATTCACTCAAATGACACCATGCTTAATTTCATTATAGTTTCATATTTTTTAACCTAAACAATAATTGTTCACCCAAAAATGATTTCTTTTCAATTCTTTTTATTTTAATATGATAAATTTACTTTTTAGGATGTAAATAATAAAAAAAAATTTTGTTTACCATAAATTTTGTATTTATATGCTTTTACTCTATATAAACATTATATATTCTTAGTTTTTTTTCTTTCTCATAATTGTAATTTGCTATCAAATACTAAAAGTTCATAGATAGATTTGTAAAACTATAAAGTGATTTAATAGTATTTATTAATATCACAAATATATGAAACGATTTAGTAATAAGTTTTCAAATATATTTTGTTTTTGTTGCCTTCTTTATCGTCCTGATCCTTACTATTTATATCATCTTTACTATTATAAAGCTGATTTCCAAGTGTTAGATATGAATATTGGTAATAGGGAAGCGCAAGACTTCACCTAGGCATATCTCGTCCCACCAAAACTATAATTTACAAGTGTTAATTTCGCTAACTGTCCTAAGCTTGCATCTTTTGAAGCTGATGCAAAGATTCATTCAAATAATATCTTATTTCTGTCATAGTTTTGTATTTTTTAACCTTATAAAATGATTGCTCTTCCATCTAATTGTTTTCCTCATTTACACGTTTAAAGTATCTATTGATCTACTTTTTGATTATTTTGGCTTTTAACAAACATTTTATGTAAAAAATTTTAAACTGTTATATTATTATTAATCTGAAAACAAAAAAAAGTTTTTCAGGTAAAAGAAATAGGAAGATTCTTATCAATTGATCAAATGTATAAATACTACAAAAAAACAGCCTTTTTGCGTCGGAAATTTGCGATGACGAATGGTGGTCGCAATTTGCGACACGTTTGCGACGGATTTGCCAGAAAAAATTAGTATGTCGCTAATCCGTCGCAATTTGTGACACCAAAAGCCGTCGCAAATCGACCGCAACTTTGCGACGACATTGCGACAAACTTGCAACCGATAGGGGTAATTGCGACGAACAAACAAGGCTGTCGCAAAGTATGTCGCAATTTACGACGGGATAGTGAGGAAGAAATTTTGTCGCAACTTTGCGACTAATTTGCGACGAATTTACGTGGATACTCAAAGTAGGTGACCATGTTTTACTCCCTTCCCACCGGCCTAAGTAGTTAGGTACGGAGTCGCAAATCAGTCGGTTCTGTGTCACAAATCTGTCGCAAATTACTCGCAATATTTTATGATGTCGCAAATCTGTCGCATTCGTCCGTCACGAGGCCGTCGCAAAATTTCTGAATGTCTATAAATAGCCTTCGAAAGTTAGTGAAACAATCACAACAGAAGGAAAGAAAGAAAGAAAGAAAGAAAGAAAGAAAGAAAAGTAAAGAAAAAAATCTTATAGTGTTAAAAAAATTAGAAAATGATAGATTTTAAAAAAGAGAGAAAAAAGAAGTGAGAAATAAATATTGAGAGAATGTCTTCAGAGCATAGCATAAATGAGTTACGATCGTGGATGTACAATCATCGAGATCCGGAGACCGGCGAGGTGAAGAAAGAGTTTCGGGATGGGTTTCGAGCATTCTTATATTAGGCGACAAACCAATCATTTGCAAGAGAAAACGGTAAAATATTTTGTCCATGTAGGAAGTGCAAGAATGTGCCATATTTAGAAATTGATACCGTGAGGAAGCATGTATATAATAGAGGATTTATGCCGAACTATTATGTATGGTTTTTGCATAGGGAAGATAGTAGTGTTGCTACGGTTGGAAGTAGTAGTATGGGTCAGGGTTTAGAACAGCCCAATTATAATGTTGATTATGAACATTATGGGCAAAATATGTTTGGAAATGTAGATGAAGGGTATCAACAAGGGAATAGGTTTCATGATATGGTTGTAGATGCAATGCATGAAGCTCCAGCAACCTCATTTGTTGATAATATTAGGGAAGAACCCAACATAGATGCAAAAAGGTTTTATGATATGTTAGATGCTGCTAATGAGCCTATCTACGATGGATGTAGAGAAGGGCAGTCGAAACTGTCATTGGTATCTAGGATGATGACAATTAAAACTGATAATAATCTCAATGAGGTTTGCATGGATTCGTGGGCTCAACTTTTCAAAGAGTACCTACCGGCTGATAATTTTTCTGCTGAGAATTATTATGAAATACAGAGGTTGGTTGCGGGTCTTGGCTTACCATCAAAAATGATTGATGTATGCATTGACAATTGCATGATATTCTGGAAAGACAAACGATAAGCTGCAGGAATGTCGATGTTGTGGGAAGCCGAGATATCAAGAAACTACTGGAAGAACACGGGTTCCATACCAACGTATGTGGTACCTGCCAATC